TGTATTTGGTATGATATTTAGAGTCCTTAATTTTGTATAAATGATGCAAATTTGAACTTCACTGAAAATTTAAAATATATATATATATATATACACACACACACTTATCTATTAATACTAAGAATATATTGTGATTTAACACTTTCTTAAAAAAAATCATTTATAATGTTATATAAGACAATATGTAGTAAATTGTTATGTAAGGGAATAATTAATCTATATTATAATATATTTTTTTTAATTTTAATTATTCAACTTTGTTATTGTCGTCATCGTCATTATATAATAATATAATGAGTTGGATAAATATTATACACGATTTGTTATTCTATATAAACATAAAAAAAATGTGGAAATGGTAGTAAGGCACGGAGTAATTTACTTTGAGTATATGTTGTCTAGCAAAAATCGTATAACTAATATATAATTATAATATTTTCATACAATCATAATTCGTATGATTTGATTTGGTTATCGATAATATAAGAAAGATCTAGAATAATTTTAAGAATTTTTATATCGTAGTTTTAAAAATTTATAATTTATTTATTTATTTTAGTCCGAAATTAAAACTTCATTCTATTTTTTTAAAAAAAATAAAATATAAAAAAAAAGTGCTATTTAAATCCATACATTAAGCAATTTAATCCATGCGATTCACATTTTTTAACTAATAATGAAAACAATAATGCTATATTATTACTACTTAATAAAGCAACATTAATTAGTTATTATTATTATTTTCATAATTAGCTGTATTTAATAAATGGTATATTTCTTATTAACTAGGGATGACTGATCATATGTCATTTTTCTATTATTTATGTAGCATTTAATTTGAAATTAATAAATCATGTTTTTTTTTTTAGTGTTTGATAAAGAAAAAGAACCAACAAAAATACAATAAGCTTTCAAGTGATATAAACTTCTTATATTAAAGTGAAAGAGGTAGATGATGGTTGACAGAAAATAATGAATGGAGCTTCAGATATTATGTCACAAATAATATGATTCTTCCAAATTTATGTATGTTAGGGAATTGACCACGTATGCCCTAATTATATCATGTAGTTTAATCATCATATTGTATAGAAATTAAGATGTGTTTACCAAAAACTTAATAAAATTGATAATAACAAATTTTTTTTTTTTGAGGGGGTAAAAGAATAATAATTAGTGATTTAGATATGTAAAATTAAATTCATACTTTTTAAATGAGTTTTATACATTTAAAAATATTGCACATGATGGATATGACTATTGAGGCAATCGGGAGGTCAAAATTATACCTTTAATAAAACGTGTTTTCATATTTCATTGTCAGAAATGATGAACGGAAGAAAAATATTAACACACAAAAAAAAAAGTCCCGCGATTAGACGATCAACGGTGGGGATGGCTGATGGGTCCCACATTCTCAACGTGGAAGTAGGACCCACCACGACCTCGCCTGCCACCGTGGCAATGATAATTTTTTAAAAATCAAAATTAAAATAATTAATCGTATGATAAGGTGAGACTGTCGTTTCATGTTCTTTTTTGTCATCTAAATTTTTGGGAGTTTTGCGTTTTTGGATCGGTCACATAATCTAATTCTTCAATAGATTTTATGGGCTACGCTTCTCTGAATCGCGCTTAGACTAAGATTATGGTCCTCTTTGGGTCCTCCCACAGATTTTTTTTTTTTTTTTAATTTTAATTTTAGTTCATGCACGATTCAACAATATGGGTTGATTGTTCTTGTGTTAAAAATATGTCAAGAAATAAACTATGTTTCTTTATAATTTCTAAATAAATAAAAAAACATTATAATTCAAAAAATAAATAAAAAATTAAGAGTGTGAACTTATTTTTTCCTCTTTCTTGCTTAAACTTATAAATAATTTCTAACATATAGATTGAAATTAAATTTTCATGTTATGGCATGTAATTAGGAGAAGTCAATTGGGTAATGATATTGAGTAAGACTGGTCATTTATAAAATTTTGGAGGTTTGCATTGCGAGCACGTTTTGACAGTTCCAAATTTGAATAGAATATTAATGTATCATGCACCTTGTCCCCGTGATCTGTCCTTCCACCATACAAAGAAAAGAATCGATCCATTGGCTATTAAATAATTCAACTACTAAAATATTTAGATAAATGATTACTCTCCAACAAAATGACACTGGTTCGAGTTAGGTTATATATATTGGGTGTATTTTTATATATTCTTACGTAATTTTAATTAAAATATTATATTACAACGTGTGTGTTAATTAATTAAATGTATTTAGTCTGGCTAAAAAGGTAGTTACTAAAAGATAGAATTACTTTGATGCTTGCTTTCTCCCCCCCCCCAAAAAAAGATGCACATAAACTCAAGCATAAAAAGAATATATTGGGAGAACGATTAAACCCCATATAATCATCCATTGAACTGAAACCACAAAAGAAAATTAGCATTTGAATCATATAAAGAAAAGAAGTAGTTTGAGTTTGACCAAACAAGTTTAACTGTTTAAATTTGGAACTGTTATTACAACCAAAAAGAAAGTGATACATGTAGAAAGGGCTGAGCAGGCGGAGTTATGGACTTGTGGTCAAGATATTCTAATTGTGTATGTACACCCGCAAGGAAACAAGAAGGCAAAGCATGTTCTAAACAGAACATGAAGGTAAGGAATAAATGTAAGCGACCGCATATATTGGAAGAACCAAGAACTCATGTTCCTGGCATTTATATTAAAATCATGTGCCATGTGCCCACATTCTGCCTGACGCTGGTGCAGATCTGTGGACTATACGGGCTTTCACCCACTTGCTGTTTGTTTCAATCATGTGTTCCTGCTACCTGATTAGGTGGTCGTGGATCCCACCCTTTTTTCCATGTGGGGCTTGGGCCTGAATCCCTAATCACAAAGTATTTCCCTAAGAGTTTTTCTTTTCAAGTCCATACAAAGACTTTCATGCTTATGCGCTATACACTAGGAGACAATATCAATCGCCCTTTACTTTCATAAGTGTTAGCAGGATTTAATTTTGGTACATAACAAATAGTTTTACTAATTAAGCTGATGGATATGCAAAACTCAGAGGTATGTCATACGTCTAATCTACAGTCAAATGAATATATATATATATAGCCAGAAAAGAAAAAGACAGTCTCTCAGTATTTAGTAGTAATTTACAAAAATATTTACTGAAATCAATACCGAAGTATTGGATGCTAAGCTTGTCTGTTCAACATTAGAGCTTCTTAATCAACTGATGCAACTCAGGCACCACGAGTTGGGCAGGCATTGGCAAAATGTGAAGGATCACCGCAGGCAAAACACCTTCTACCGGATATAGGATCTCCAGTGGCTGACACAAACATCATGTCAGGGCCATGTCCCCGACCCTGGCCACCTCTGCCACGGCCACCTCTCCTGCCAGGATTAGATGCCGACCTACTTCCATTTGCACGTGGAACACTTCTTCCTCCCGCATCATCACCAAGGCTATCCTCCCATCTGTAATATAGCCAATAGTATGTACAAATAAATTCAGGTAGATGTTTGGACAAAAAGAATCCTTCTTTTCATTATTACAATATCAAGATGATATATTTCACTTCTGCATCCATTGCTACCTATTCCGCCCGTAGGACAACTCAAATAATAAAGTTAGGTCAATGATCTTACACAAAGAAGTTGCATTCTTGAGATGGACATGAGTAAAACTTTCTTCCCCTGTTATTTGCCGTGTTAGCAGTCCGTAAAACACATGGTGTTCCGCATGTGCTACATGGTATTGAAGATTCTCCTGCTTAATTAAAACCATCAAAAAGAGAATGCATCAGTTAAACCTTTAGTGGTTGCAAACAACTCGTAAATTCATTATTCAGTGGCCAACAAAAGTCAGTAGCATATAACATGTTACATCTTTATAATTTTTTGTCGGAAGAAAAGGTTACAGGTATCAAGACCATTCTCTGCCTAGAATATAAAGAACCTTCCAGTGTTAAAAGTAAAAAAGAAAAAAGCAAAAGGACCTGTATTTGTGGTTAAAAGAATGAAAGTTCAGTACCACTTAACTCACCTCATTAAATTATTAAGAACTGTTGATTGTGTATTTCATTAAATATTATGATCTTACATAGACAAATTGTTTAGAATAGAAAAGAAAATAAACAATTAATTACATAGAGTATATTTTACTCCAACATTCTTTAACCTAATTTATATAAATATATTCTTTTTAACACTTACTCTCAAGTTGAAAAATAGATATTATTCATCCCCAACTTTTAGGAAATTGGACTATTCAAGTCTTTAATGAACAAATATATTATTTATGAACTGGTGGGCATGTATGGAGTACATATTAGCCCACTATTAAGTTTCTCTTTGATAAAGAATTTGTCAACCTCGATATACTTGATCCGGTCATATTGTCTTGAATTTTGTGCAAGAACTATGATTGACTTGCTATTACAATATAAACGCATAAGGCTTCCCGCTTGATTCTTACATCTTCTAGAAATATCTATAGTTGTTCACATATTTGTTGGGCCATTACTCAAAATTTTGATTCTGCACTTAATCTAATAATTAATAGTTTGCTTCTTAATTCTTTAGGTAACTAGGTTATCCGCAAGGAAGGTATAGTAG